CAGAGGAGGGAGAGGGAGGCTGGAACACTGTCTGTCTCTCAGACTGGGGGTGCTGTTCTTTAGCCGAGGTTCCTTGAGAGCAGGAATCTTGCCTCTGCCATTTTGCTAGAGTGTCATGATTCAGAGGTCCTGCCTCACTCCTACCCCAGGTCTGACCAGGTCCTCAGAGCCCAAGGAAGTCCCTGGATATTGCCAAGACCGGTGTTCCTTGGAACTTGCTGGTCAAGGTTCATCTCTTCCCATCGCTGGGTCTACCCCACCGTTTTCCTCTGCTCCCCGGGGTCTCTCAGGCCTGAGCTTTGGCAACCACTGCAGCTTCCACAGTCTGATCCTGGACCCCGTCATCCCCAGGCTTCCCTATCCAGCAAACCTATACGACTGGCCTCTCTCCAACTCACTTCACACACACATACATAATGAGCCCCTTCCTACCTTCTTGCCTTTGCTCAGGCTGGGGGCACCTTTCCCATCTCTGCTTGTCAGTTCTCACCACCACCCCCCCCACCAGGACTCACCCCTCCCCCCAGCAGCCTGCCCTGACTGCTCCACCCGTGTCAGCCTCTTCTCCCTCCCCCTACAGTCCCTCCATGGCCATAGGCCTGGTGCTTTATGGAGACTGACACCTCCACACTCAGCCCCAAGCTAACACAACAAGCTGGGGTGGAGGGGCAGAGCGGCAGGATGATGGATGAGGCTGCGTGGCTCCTTTCCCTGCTGAGGCTGTGGTTAGGAGATCTCCCCTTGAAGAAGCCTGATATTTTCCAGGAATTTCCTGAGAGGAGGGGACCAAGCATTCTGGAATGAAAGCCAGCTGTGGGGTTGTGGCCTGGGGGTGGGGAGGGGGCCTCTGGGCTTCCTGGCTGAGTCAGTGACTGTCCCCAGGTAATTTATGGGCTGAGTCAGGCCTGGGGCATCAGGCATTGGGGTGGGGTTGGGGGGGGTGTCTTTTAGGCAGTCTGTCAAGGGAAGGGCAGCCTGTCTGACCGGAAGTGAATCTGGCTGAGCCCTGCACTCCCGTTTTGTCCCCCAGCCTTTGTCTCCTTGCCTGGAACCTGCAAAAGCAGCAGTCAAGAGACAGGAGTTCAGGGAGATGGCCACAGAGGGGAGACACCTCTGGTAGGCCCTGGGGGCCCCTGAAGGCAGAGGGGCAAGGCTGGCAAGGAGTGGGCTTGGCTTGGCCTCAGAACTAAGTCAGAAGTGATCTGCCTGCTCTTGCTTCCTTCCTTGCCCCTACTTCAGCAGATGTGGCCTCCTCTGAAAAGCAGATCTGGCTTCTGATCTCCTTTCATCAGGGTTGTGCCTCCTTCTGAATCTCAGTTCCTTACTTGAGCAAGATGGTCTGGCACCCCTGAGCCCTGGTCTGAGATTGGCAGCTGCAGAAAGGGAGTGGATTCCTGTGACACTGGCCTGGAAAACAAGACTAAGCAAAAACAAGCCTGGGAGATACCCTCTGAGGGGCACTGCAGGGCTTGACCCTGACTGCAGAGCGGGCTGGGATAGGTGGGTGGGTAGAGACAACTGTTTTTTTCTCCTCCAAGTTGGACCAGCTGCAGGGGAGGTGGGAAGGGTGTGTAATCACACACACACACAGTCCCAGGAAAAACCCGTTTTTGGCTCGTGTCACTGGGCACTGAGCCTGGGTTCCCACAGAAAAATCATAAGTGGCGAGGAGCCCTCTCCTGCTGACAGAGGGTGGCAGACATGTCCCCTGGGGATGGGACTTAGCTTTCCCATGTCATTCATGCACATGTGTTGTGGAATCATCTGGATTCTAAGCATGTTGGGACTCGGCAGGTTCTGGTCTCAGCATTTTGAGGAGCCCCCTGAACATATATGGGGCTCAGGCAGTGGCATAGTTTGGTGCTGCACCAGCCCTGGCTTCCATCCCCGCCTGCTCCAGGCAACATGGATGCCGGGTCAAAGGATCAAAATGATCCAGACAGGAGACAGAGTAGGAGTGGTGAGAGGCGGTTGGCTGCTGGAATATGTGGGAATACAGTGGACAGTATTCTCAGGTGGACTGGACATGAGGTCTAAGAGAAAAGACTCAAGGACAAGTCCAAGGTTTTCACCTGAATGACTGAAGGGATTAAGGTGCCATTAACTGAGAGGGAGGATGAATTTTGTTGTACATTGAATACATTGTTTTTATTGTCAAAATCTGAAAACAGAAAGCCCCGGAACTGAGCGGGGGTATCTGTGTGGTTCCTGACCACAGGGACCCCTGGTTTATCACACCATCCACTGCAGACCTTGGGGGTCCCGAGAGATCTGGTGAAAAAAGTGAGGCTCCCTTTCCTGCCTGCAGCGCAAGGGATTGGCAGGAATACAAAGGGCTTTGTCTCACCTGAGTCCCCGGCTTGCAGGACTTGGTGTTAACTGAGGGGGTTGTGTGTGGATGTTTGCCTGCACAGACCCATTTTGGTCCCCAGAAGCCTTTTCTTCTCAGACCTGGTGTGCTGTTACGAGAAACTTCTAGAGGAAGTATTTGTGGGAGGTGAGAATACCTGCTTCGATTCTCCAGGCCACAAACCCCTGCCAGCCTGGCGGGTCAGAGGCGTGCAGGAGCATCCCAGGCAAGCAAGTATTTGGGAACGCAAGGCCAGAGAGGCTGTAAGGATGGCTTTATAGCTGCTCAGGTTGGCTCTGCCCAAATGCCTCTGACGGAAGAGGCCAGCTTGGCTGTCTAACTCCCCTGAACTCAGGTTCCCTGAGGAAGCAGTCCTGTAAGCATCTGTTTCTTATTTCTTCACATACCTTGGGTCTGCTGGGCCCAGAGACTAAGTGCTCTGTGCCCCTACATCAGTAGAGATGGGGGACAAGAAAACAGCGGGGAGAATATGGGTTCCCGGGCCTTTCTCCAGACCCATGGAATGTACATTCCTGAGTGAGAGGCCCTGGAATCTGAAGGTTTACAAAATTCCCCTAGTGACCTGATGGGGGTTGGGAGTTGGAAACCCCTGGCCTCAAGGGACACCGTACTTAAAGAGAGTCAAGATGTGATACAGAGGACAGGCGGCCAGAAAACTTAGGACCTGTGTCCTGCTTGTCTGAACACAAGAGAACCCTGGGTCTTTGAGGGGCCTCCAGGGTGCATTTGCTGAGTTTGAGTCTAAAGCAAAGATAAAGCCCCAGGAAAGGGGAAAGCCGTATGTGCTTCAACAAGCCGGAAGCCAAGAACGACTCTAGGGGCCAGCACCAGAAGCCTTGAGGAAGTATCCAGATCCAGAACTGGGGGTCAGGGCAAACCTACCTTTCACGGAGGACACATTTGTGCATGTTATTCAGCACCCTATTTCTTCCCTGAGGGATGGAATCCTGGCTGCCAGCTTCACTGCACGAGGTGCAGACCCCTAGTTTCCTGCACCTAAAGTTGGGAGATAGGATTTTAGAGCTTGGTGTGGGGCTGGAATGTGCCTGGAAGGTGGGGCTCCCTCTGGCCTGCCTGGGGTGAGCCCTGGAGCTGGCCTGTACTCTATGACCTGCTCCTCCTCCCTATAAACTCTTAACCCCAACCTGAAGAAGGTGATCCCCAAGGGCCAGGGCTTGCCCGCCCAGAAATACATTAAATAAATAATGTGCTCTGCCCAGATTTTATCTCATCTGGATTCCAAAGCACAAGACAAATGGCCTCATGTCCAGCTGGGAGGTGTAATTCATTCTCCTAGGTGAGCCCACAGCCCGGGGTGGGGGGTGGGGTGGAAGAAGAGGGGCGGTTGGATTGGAGCATCTGGAAAGGCAGACTCAGGGGCAGGTAGGCCCCAGAGCTCGGTGTGCAGGACTGGGTGCCAAGACCGCTAGAAACAGGCAGGCTTCTCAGGGATGGCAACAAAACCTCGCATCCTTTCATTCAGGGAATCTGTTCTTGGGACTTATTCTAAGGAATACACATGGAACATGCAAAGATTTAGCTTTCTGTAAGCCCGGAAAACAAGAAGCAACTTAAATGTCTGATTAAGAGAAACTTGGTTAATCATCCTGCAAATAAAATGCAATGTGGCCTTTAAAAGATGATGCCATACAAGCACATTTAATGACCTAGAAATAAGTTAATAGCACAGTACGATACTAAATATACAGCTACTTCATTTAAATGAGGCTGGGAGGCTAGAATAATTCTCATGCGTGCCCACGGATCACCCCACTACAGAATCCAACCGGAAGAGACAGACCTTGCCTTTCCAACCAGAAGTGATGCTGCTTTGCTGTGGGAGGAGAGGGGAGGCGGCTCCTCCTTGCCCAGCAACAGCTCAGCCAACACGAGAATGCTATAACCCGCAAATGAAACGTGAATATACTTTGAAATCCCAGCTTCCTCCATTGGACTCTTGATTTCCAACATCCCTCTAAAATTTGCAAAACAAAGTTTTCTCTTTGGGATGCACAAACCATGAAACCTCACGTTCCAAATTGCTTTTTGTTATTGTTTCTGAATAAACCCATTTTTTAAAAAAATAAATTTTATTTTTATATTCCCTATACAATTGCAGCCCCCTTGTTTTGACCCCAATCCCTCCTTTCCCTGCCTCCCACCCCCCCATAGAGTGTCTCTGGTTCATAGTTTTTTGTTGATTTTGTGAATAAACCCATTTTGCTGGGGAAATAACTGGCTGCTTGTTTGGCTGAAGTTAGCAGGAGTGACCAGAACAATAAAAGGCTGATAGATACATAATTTTGAAACTGTGCTGACTCAGTAAAAATGTTGGACGGATGTACACCCAAATATTGATGGGTCATGAGCAACCTAAATTCTTTCTTTTTCATTGACCTTTATTTTTTGTTTTTGCTTTTCTGAATTTATAACTTTTTCTAGAATAGTTGCACACTTATTTATATACAAAGGGCAAAAATAATAAAAGTGATTATTGTTATGATTTTACAAACCAGGACTTCCAAGAAGTAGCTCAGGAAGGAGAATTTCCAGGTGGGAGGGGCAGCTGTGTCTAACAGCCTAAACTCTGTTTCCTGTTGACCTCTCCTTGGTCTTTTTTCATTCCCAGGTCCATCCTGCTGCCTCCCCTTGGCCAGCACCCCAGGATGCCACTGTCCTTCCAAATCTCTGGACCAAGCACAGTTAAGAAACCTGAAAGATCATACCAGAGAGCATTAATAGACTCTAGGAGAAGATAGCAGAAATACAGCGACTAGAATAACCATAAAACCAACTAGACTTCCTTAGGAAAGGTTGTCCATCCTACATCAGGCTCCCTCCAAAGCTTCCCAGGTCCTGCCCATCTTGTATGGTAAGATCCACTCAAGGATCTTCTAAGTTTAAAAAACCAAATGGTTCTCATTTAATTTTCAATGTTAGGTTCTCTTTTAGTTACAAAACAAAGCTGTTTATATTATCAATTTTTCAGGTTCAGCTATTGCTGTCCAGTTTAGAAAAGTAAAAATCTAATTCACATTCCTTTACCTCTACTTCTACTCAATCCCTTCTGAAAAGTTTCCTTATTGTCTAACTGGTTTTAATCCTTCTGCTCATGCTTGTAACTTAAAATTTCCCCCAGTTTTACTGAGATCTCATCGATGAGGAATCTACATTTTTAAATCTCAAGAGAAAGAAACTCAGAACTACTAAGAATAATTCTTGATTGACTTGGAATGAGTTTTGGAATCTGTATTTTTAACCAGCTACCCAGGTGATTTTGCTGATCTTTTTGAGGTGGGGTGGTTGTTGTTTTTTTTTTTTCCCTTTCCTCTTTCTCTTCCCTTTAGTAAACTGTTTTTCAACTTTGTTTTTCAGTGAAAACCATTTCCTCCTCCCCATGGACTTGATCCAGAGGCTGTGCCCATCTCTCCCACGTCAACAGTCCTGTGTCCTTGGCAGAGGACAAAGCACTCTCATTCTGGGCCTTTCCCTTCCTCCTCAGCCAACCCCCTGCTTCGGCAGCTAATAAAAAGGCTAAGTTCCCTGATGCAGGGAAAGCCCCACCTGCAGATTGGAAATCTGCTAGGCCACACTGTCCTAATCTACAGCTGTCCTTGCCTCTTCCCTTCGGATTTTCCCAGAGCAGGGAGTTCTGTCCCAGACCTCGGGTGTCCCTGTGCCGAGGTGGAATCCAGACACCACACCTTCCAAAGCCAAACAGATCTGAGCCAAACAGGAATGCACGAGCTGGGTGCAGTTGAAGGCATTTGGTGGCTCAGTAGGCAGGATTTGGGGGAGCACTGTGCTGAGTGGAGGTGGGTAGGTATATTTATTTGGCTCACAGAGTCCCCTGTCTAGTGGGATCAGCTCCTCCCATCAGTAGCCACCTGGCCCAGCTTTGGGAGATGTGGACAATGGATTTCACAGTGATTTCCACTGGGCCATGGCACTGAAACAGCTGCAGGAGAGGGCATAGCTGTGTTTTCCCCACCCTTACCAAAGAATTGCTCTGGAGGAAGGCCACCCTCCCCAAGGGCCTACTTGCTATGGTTCTAGTGGCCCTGGGGCAGTACCTCTAAGCTAAATTTGACCTTTATTAAAATGAAATCCCATCATCACTTATTCAGTGACTCCCAAGCCTGGTTAAATGTCAGAATAACCCGGAATGTGAGTTGAGAAATAAAGATTGATAAAAAGAACAGATTTAGAGCCCACCCAGACCTAATGGATCTGAATCTCTCTGGGTAGGACTAGGGCCAGAATCAGTGTCAGTCATTTTAATCAGACCCCTGACCCCAGGAGGTTGAGCCCATAGAATGAGAATGTGGAGAGGGAATATCAGGTCGGGGGTCATGGAGGTGACACTGGGAGCCCCGACTCACAGTATGTCCATGTATGCCTACCAGAGAACTGGAGACTTTTCATACGTTTTCTTATTTGTTAGAACCAAGTCACAAGGTATGTCCAATTATTATCCCCATTTTGCTGATGAGGAAAGGTGGAGGGGGCGGGGCGCTCAATGAGGTCACATGACTAAAAAAAGGCAGAGCCAGATCTTAGGTCCAGATCTGTCTTTTAACCTCCCTGCAATGGAAGGAAGACTGTGAAACCTGGAGTTAGGCCAGTGTGTCCCCAAAGTATGCATTCTGCACACTTATCTCTGGTGCTCTGTCTCCCTCTGCCTCAGCTCCCCAAGTGTTTGGACAGGACACGACCTCCATCAAGACAGGGTGGCTTGGGAAAGGGCTCTGGGTTGGAATCAGGAGGCAGTGGTCCCCTGCACCACCACCCAGAGCTGTGAAGGGTCTCGGCTCCCTTTCTATGGCAAGAGGGGGATGGACTAGGTGACTAGTGGGGACCCATCAGCTCCTGTAAAGCAGGTTCAGCAGAGTCCAGCGCCATCTCACCAGAAACCGCCCCCTCCCACTTCAGGCCCCTCCTAGGTGAGGCATTCTCATCTTTCCTTCCTCATCTGGACACAAGAAGTCTCTCCAAGGGAGTTGCTGAGGGAAGAATGGAGTGGAGTTAGACTCCCCAGACTTTAGAGAAGACTTCCTGGAGGAGGTGGCATCTGAGTCAGAGGTCTCCAGGAGAGGGGACTGGAAAATCCTCAGGCAGTGGGAGCAGTGGGAGCCAGAACACAGCCTGCCGGGCCTCCTTCTGCATGGTGGTGCATGCTGCTGATTTGGCACTTCCAAGTTTCTGGCTATAAAACACAGCACCACTGGCTCCGGAAGTCCTCCTTATACCTCATGCAGCCTTGTTTGGTGTCCATGGGGCTTTGGGGGTCTCATCTTTGGGAGAGGATGTTTGCATGACTGTTTCCCCACTGGGCTGTGGGCTCTCACTGGCTGGGGCTGATTCCCTTCCAGTTCTGTATCCTGTGCCTGGAGTAGGACTGGGCCCTGCGTCCTACAGGAAGGAAGGGGAGGGAAAGGAAGAAAGAAAGGGAAGAAGAGGGAAGGAAGGTCTGGTTCAGAGGCACTTCACCCAGGAGTCCTCTGAGAGCACCCGCCTGTGCCATTGGGTCCATGGGGCTGCCCAGGCCGGGTGGGCTTGTCCCTCTCTGACTGTCCTGGGTACAGGGGCTTGAGGCCTGCTGTGCCTGCAGTAACCTGAGCTCTGGGACATAGAGCCAGTGAGGATGACTGCCAGGAACATGTTCCCGCATCCTTGCCTCTCCCTCTCAGGCATCTTGAACATGGGCCCAACATCTTTGAATAGGAATCTCTCCCCCTGTCTCAGATGAGCAGTGGAGGATCATGTCTTGGAGAAAGATTTAATTCAGCTTCTAAAGCAAGTTGAATTGTTCATAGGCGGAGGTGCTCCTCAGGTGTAGAATGCGGGATGAGGGCCCCAGTTTGAGAGCTGGGTGCAGAGTAGAGAGGGCTTCCCTTGTGACAAAGGGAATGAGGCAATATTAACCCTAGAGACAAGGCAACGAGCAGAGAGGAGAGGGTTCAGGCCCATTCCACGGGAGGCTCAGTGAGGCCCGTTCTGACTCAGCCTGTTAGCATCAGAACAAGAAGGTGGCTATGGGGACCTACCTTCTGAAAACACTGAGACCCAGAGGGGGACACCTGGTGTGGAAGACTGCCTAATGACCTGCAAATATATTCATGTCCACATCTCCCAAAGCTGTGAATGGTCTTCTGGGACAAAAGGAAGTATGCATATGTGATTAAATGAACCATTGAGATGGGAATTATCTAGGTAGGTCCTGTGAAATCATGAGCATGTAAGGACAAGAGGACAGCAGGAGGGCCACGATTAGAGGAGAAGCACTTTCTGATGAGATGAGATGACAGAGCAGAGATGACAGAGCAAAGATTGGGGTGATGTTTTCTGAAGATGGGGCCACTAGATGTCAAAAATGGTAAGGAGGCAATTTTTCCCAAGGAGCCTCCAGGAGAAACGAGCCCTTCCTACACTTTGACATTAGACTGGTAAGACTGATTTCGGACTTCTGATTTCCAGAATTGTAAGAGAATAAATTTGCGTTATTTTAAGCTGCTCTGTTTGTGGTGATTTGTTACAGCAGCAACAGAAAACTCATACCTTATCTGGAAATGCAGAACTAGCCAGCAGTCAGCCTGTTCTCAGATCCCCTAAGCCCAGCACTATGGAATTCTTGTTCCACACTGGAGGGGACTGAGCTAGAAGTGGGGGTGAGGCCCCAAAGGGCCCTAACACCATGGGTGGTGAGATCCCTGGCCTCTGAGACGTGTATGCGTGTGGGTATGTGTTAGGAGAAGGGAATAATACGCCCTCTTCATGTATCAGGGGATTTTCTGGGCAGACTATTCTCCAAAAGCATGTGAACATTTTTCTCTCCAGGAAAAAATAACTCAAGTTCTATCAAAAAAAGTCCCAGTTTCACACGCACACACATGGATGGGCTTGTGGGTCCTAGCAAGACTCCAGCTACCCCATCTGCTCCAGGCGTCTTTAATTTTCACAGGGCAGGGAGCAAAGCTGAGGGGGGCTGGGGGACCCATCAACAGGAGGACTGTGGACACATTGTGACATCTGGATTTCCCCAAAGCACTCTGGGTCCTGTGGAGAGAGCTCCCCCGGCCCGGCCCCACTCCCACAGTGCTTCCCACTTCCACGAAACCTCTGGGAAGATTTGACACATTTCTTTGCAGTGGAGAGCAATTGGAATTTCCAGCTTAATTCCAGATGTGGGGCTGGCTGTGCTGGGGAGTTTGGCCTTGTAAAGCATCTGGGAGGCCCCTTGTCCCATTGGACCCCCCAGTGCTGGCCTGCACAGTATGTGTGTCCCCACTCCTGGACTCTGGGTCTTGTGGTTGGGCTTTCTGTGGGGAGCTGGAGAGAGCCCATGCATGTGGTTTTCACAAGTGTGGAGCCGGCTGGGGCAGGGTGGACTGAGCTGGCAGCCTGGGGCCCATAGTCAGTCAAGAAGGGCAGGCTGCCTCTAGGTGGGGAGTGGGGGATGTGACAGAAAAGAATCTAGTCAGTAAAGAGTGCTCTGGGACTGTGGGCCAGGCCAGAGGCCTGGGTCAGAAACTGGATCTAGAGCAGGCTGGAAGGGGGTGAGGGAGGAACCAAGGGTGAATGTGAATAGAGGTTATAACTGGCATCTGGCCAGGCACTGGCATTTGGCTGCTGAGACAACAGGCAGAGGGGGAAGCCCTTTACCCAACCAGTGTGCCCTGGCTGTTGGGGTTGAATGCCCCAGAAAAGACTGCCAGGACCAAATGCCATTCAGAGGAAGTGAAGGTCCCCACTGAAAACCTTTGTGAAACTGCAGGGGGATATAGACTATAACCTCCTTTTGTCAGCCTGTCATGGTTGCCTTCATTGCCAAACAGAAATGAACCTCCTTCAAAAATGAACCTCCAAAGATGACCATATCCTAACCCTGCAGAACCCGTGAATATGATGAGTAAACAGGCAAAAAGATTTGCAGATATGACTATACTTAGGATCTTGAAATGGAGAGATTGTCCAGGGTTGTCTGGGAGGGCCCAGTATGATCACCAGGGGAGCAAGAAGGTCAAAAGTGATTTAAAAAACATTGGAAGACAGAATGCAGGAAGTGGCCACAAACCAAGGAATGTAGGCAGCCTCTAGAATCTGGAAAAGGCAAGAAAATGGATTCTCCCCTAGAACCTTCAGAAGAACACAACCCCGCTAATACTCTGACTTTAGCTCAATAAGACTGGTTGGACTTCTCACCTCCAAACTGTAAAATAAATTTGTGTTGTTTCTAGGTCACTCTGTGTTGATCTGTTATAGCAGCCACAGGAAACTAATACACCCCCATTCTAATGCTGGTTTCCAGGCTCTGCCCTACTCCTTGTTGTGAAGGTCTTCACAACATTACACAGGTTAAGGGGAACTTCTTGCCTGCTCTGAAGCCCTAGCTGAGCGTTAGTGCAGATCACCGCAAGGTGGGGCTGCTTTCCCCCAACTAACACCTCTGCCTGGTAGTAGGAGGTGTTCAGGCCCCCAGATTACTCCAAACCTTAAAATAAATTTGTGTTGTTTCTAGGTCACTCTGTGTTGATTTATTACAGCAGCCACAGGAAACTAATACACCCCCATTCTGGGCACAGACCTTGTTCTCATGGGCACTGCTTTCCTTCTTCACCCATGGATAAACCAACCAACTATCAGCCTCGTTGTTCTTCCACCACATTCTTCTATCTCCCCACCCCCACCCCGTGCTCTGGGGGTTCCACTACCACCTCCCAACAAGGAGAACAACATTTTAAAGTGACAAATGAGGCAGCCAGAACACATAGAGAAAGAGGGACACTCACAAAGGTCTGGAAGGACTTGCTTCCTGGGAACCGGACATCAGCAACACCTGCTATAAATGGGGTTTTGACAAATAAACTCAGGGGCTGTGCTGAGTGAGGGCAGGAAGCAGCTGAACTGGGTCAGCACTGATGACCCCACATCCCTGTCCCCGAGACTGAGATTCCACACCCCCTTCAGTTATTTTTTCCTTTCTCCTTACAAGCCCAAGCATGAATACCTTTGCACAAATCATACAGGCCCGCATGCACACAAACAAGCACAGGGCCTCAAGCAGTGCCAGAGTGTGCAAAGAGGAAGTGGGCAAACACACTTGCACAGACACCACTCAACACACTTACAAACGAGCAGTCGTGCACATGCACTGGCACACACCTACAGTCTCACAAACATAGACACATGCACTTTTCACACT